TGGTTTTGTATAAAGAAGTTGTACAATTGGTGATGAAAATTTTCAGTCATTTCTTCAAAATAACATGAGTGCAATCAGAAGTGAGCATATTTTGATAAATAGAGTTAAAAACTGGGTCTGTCCATTCCTTTATCTCTAACGGTAACGCACCACTGATTAAACAGCACATTGTTGTCTTACAGAAGGTTTTTTCTCATTTGGCTGAGATTTTTGAAGTGGAAAAGTGCTCCTAAAACTGGAATTTGCAAAATGTATTTCCTGTCTTTTTTTTTGAAAAAAAAAAAAAAAAAACACGCTTTGTTGCTAAGTGGTCACTTTTAACCCTGGCTCATTTAGCCAAGTTCCAAGGGCTGGGTTTTGGTGTGGCTTCCTTTGTGTTAAATCTGCCTTGTATTCATAAAGGTAAGTGACTCAGCTGTCATTGGTGTAACCCTGTTCTGTTACCTGGACCACAGCCTGCCCTCCCAACCTCTCCAGCTGTGTGCAAGCTGCCAGCTTCCCACTGCCCCCCCTACCCCCCAATGCAGTTAAAGTAAATTATAATATTGTAACCACTAGAAAAGATTAGGAGGGCCATTTCTGGAGTGATAGTCACAGCCGGCAATGTACATATAAGACTTGCCAGCACCATGGAGCCAACTACTACATTGGGCATACTTTTTTTTGTTCGATACTTTCATTTAACTATTTTAAGCACACATAATAGCTGGTTTATAAATAAACTTGTCACAATCCAATAACTGGGGTTCTTTAGCAAGTACAAGCTTAAATATTTGAAAAATCTCAGCTCTAGCTTTTCAAATGGTCTTCAAGAAAATGTTGTTCCTGGCAGTGCTCTGTTAAGTAGCAGTGGAGGTTTACCTCCTCCTAAATATCCAATGAAAGAAGAATCCGAGAGCCTTCCATTAAAAGTATGTATTTTAACCGAGCTATTACTGTGTTTAAGCCATTTAGTCACCTTTGACTCACCACTGTTTGAATTAGACTTCTGACAACCCTGTTGCTACACCAGCAGCCCACCAATTGTACTTGCAAACAACCCTCATGTTTTAAAGTAGCTGTAACATTTAGATCTTTCTAACATTTCCTCAAATAATTAAAGATAAATGAATTTATATTTAAATCCTCAGCTATGTTCTTAGCTGTCAGTTACGGTGCAGATTATTGTATTTCTATATTTACCTCCGTTGGTAATTTTAACTTCATGTGTTGCTATGAAGACTTGCAGATGTCTTTAATCAAGCACTATTTGTTAATACTGTAGTATCAAAATATTATGTCGCATTATTTTAAAGCTTTCAAAAATAAGAGTAAAATGTTTTAAAAAAAATATATATATGCTGTTGCACCCGCTCCTTTGCTGCGCAGCAGCCTGGCACAGCACATCAGGCGGGTTGGCAGCGGTGCTGCGTAAGCTGTGGTCTGCACGGGATTTCTTTGGGGCGTTGGTCGATGAGGTGACCCTGTCTGGCGTTACCGTCCCCGCACCCTCAGCCTGCGGCGGGTCTCTCTGTTCTGGTGAAGGACCCAGGACCCTGCTTTGCCCTCCAAGGGGTGTCTGTTGCTGTCTGTGGGTGTGCTTTTCCTTTTCAGTGGTGTAAAGCTGACTTCACCCTAGAATCGGATTTGGGACCTGCCGCTCTCCTCAGGGTCGCTTTCCCAGGAGGGAACTGGAGGCGAGGCCCCTGCCCTGGCCTCCCGCCGCGGTGTTTATCGTGATGCACACACGCAGTGATGGAAGCGATGACGGAACAAACACTATTGCTGCCGAATGCCATAAACAGAGTTGCACAAATTGGGACTGAGGAAATGAAAAAGGTTTATACTGTGAGAAACGCGTTCGCAAGGACACTTTAGAGGCGGATTTAAAAGTTTTGTGAAGTAAAGAAGTTCATTCAGCGCAGCGCTGGGTGCACCTGGGCAGTGGGCACCCCTGGAAAGTCCCTTGGGCTTTTATAGTTTAGTTCATGATTACATCAAAGCCATTTACACAATGAAAGTCCCACCCCCAAAGTTTCTACATTCCCAAAGTTTCTTCATATTGTGACATGTTGTGCAATTCTCTCCTGGAGCAGGCGCAGCTTCTTCGTGGGGATCCGCTGGTGGTCGTTCTCCCCCTCAACTCTGAGAATTCGGTTCACTAATGGTCATTTGGCGGTGGCTGGCGCATGCTCCCACCTTAGTTCTTTTTGCTGACCTTTCAGTTCCTTTGTTCATGTCGATTTCAACATTGCTTGCCAAGCCGTGATACCCTGTATTTACTCAAGGTTACATTTGTTACATCGTGTATGTTAATGCTTAAACAAGTTTCGTCCCTTCATAGACAAATTTCTCACAATTCCACCCTTTTTCTCTTATTCCTTATCTTTGTTTAAGCATACATTTCAAGTCACTACGGTATCATATTATACTCATTTCCTTTTTGTCTTTCGAATCCTTTCCAATTTCTGCAGTAGCAGCCTCATTGGAATCAGTATTTGTACTGGGAGTTTTATGTCTTATCACCATTATTTGGGGGGGGCTTTTGTCTACTTGTAGCCAATTTTGGGTTAACTGGCATCGTAGTAAGTTGCATGCCTTCTGTTACTGCAGAAATTAATGGTATAAAACAAGGTCTCAAACATGGCAAAAACAATAATCCAGCCAGGGCACATAGTAGGAAGAATCCCACATAATAGGAAGAATCCCACGTTCTTCCCCAGGCCCCTCCCATTAATCCTTCCCACTAATTAGCATTAAGCATTGAATTCCATTTCTGAACAGGTACAGGAGCTAGTTTCTTAATATTTTGTGCAGTATCTCTTACAGTCTTTTCATTATCATCAAGCTTGTGACAACACTCGGAAGTACTGCATTTTCCACATACTCTCCGTCTTCGGCCAAAAGATAATCAAGAGCTGATCTACTCGGAAGAAGCACACTTCTCATTTGGGTCTGTTGTTCTGCCAATAATTCTAAAGCTGGAGCTGTTTGATTAGTTATCAGTTCTAATACAGCTTGCAGCCTGATTATTCAGCATATATACTGGGGTCCTATAGCCCCAACTCCCGTCCTAGTACCAGGAATCTATTCGTTGGATAGTCTGTGGAGCTTGTTCTTTTTGGTATGGTTATACCAATTACAGCCGGGCCCATCGTGAACCTCATGGTGCCAAGGTCTGGTACAGCTTGTATCTCCACCACTCAACACCAACAAGCAGTGGAGCAGTCTCTCCTTGGTGGCAGATACAGAACTGATCCAGTCACGCCCTTGGCACTTTCCCCTAGGATCTGACTGTATCTGTTAGTTCCTCGGCTTTTCTTCCTTAGGGCTAGCTCATGGTGAGTGGTACAGTATCTCCAAATCCCTTCTAACTTCTCAAATTTACAGTCAAATTCAAGTTTAGTGGATTGTGGAATCTGTCCCTTCTCCCTTAATTTCTGCAACGTCTGAGAAACAGTTCGTACATTTTGATTAATGTACTCATTTCCATATTTCCAGTCTATGGGTTGTACATTAGCACTCAGATAGGGGAGACCAAACAACTGCTCATAGGGAGCGATTCCCACGTCTCTTCGTGGGGCCGTTCGTATTCTTAACAACGCTAAGGGTAGACACTTCGTCCAGGGCATCCTAGTTTCAGCCTTTAGTTACTTGATTCTTCAGGGTTGATTCATCCTCTCTACTCTAACGGAACTTTGAGGATGCCATGGAGTATGGTGCTCCCATTTCATTCCAGTTTTTCTGCTATATTTTGAATGATCCAAAATGTAAAGTGGGTTTTGTGATCTGAGTCGACATTTAAACAGATCCCGAACCGCGGGATTATTTGTTCCAACCATATTTTTACTACACTGTTTGCAGTAGCTCTGATTACTGGAAATGCTTCCACCCAGTGGGGAAGGTGATCTACAATTACCAGCAGGTAATTTCCATTTCTGTACCAGCGGGAATTCTGTAAAGTCCACTTGGATAGGTGGAATGGTTTTATTGCTAACTCTCCACCTCCTAGGTTAGATTTTCTCATTACTTTCTTACTTACTCTTTGGCAGGTCATACAGTCGCTGTAATTTGTTTAGCAACTGTATAAATCCCTATGCATCTGAGCACCCTGAGAAAGTGGTCACGTAATGCCTGAGTTCCCCAGTGGCTACTCTCATGCAATTGTGCTAATATTTCCTGAGCTAACTCTTTGTCTACCATTTGTCTCCCATCTGGGAGAATCCATTTTCCCTCTTCTGTCTCCTTTCCTCCTGTCTGCCTTATTTGTTCTTTTCCTTCTCCAGGAATCTTGGGATTTGTCTTGGTTTCTCAACCCATGGTATTAAAGCGTATACTTTTGTATTCCTTTCTTGCGCAGCCTTTTTAGCTTCTTGATCTGCCCTTTGGTTTCCCCGGGCCTCCCGTGTTTCCCCTTTTTGGTGTCCTCGAACATGTACCACAGCGATTTCTAATGGTTTTTGAAGAGCAGTCAAAATGTCAGTTGTTAACTGCTCATGTAAAAGTTCCTTCCCTTTTGGAGTAGTCATTGCCCTTTCTATCCATATTTTCCCCAAAGTATGTACAACACCCCATGCATATTTAAAATCCGTACATATAGTACCTGATTTCCCGACTAAGTATTCCAGTGCCTTCTTTAAAGCATGTAATTCACAGGCCTGAGCAGACCAGTCCTGTGGAAGGGACCCACTTTCTATTAGTCTTTCTGTTTGACCATCTACTACTGCGTATCCACTATACCGCATTCCATCCTTACAATATGATCAGCCATCAGTGAAAAGATACTCCCCTTCTTCGAGTGGGCTTTCTTCTGTCTACCCTCATCTTTGTCTGATAGTCTGTGATCTCTAGGCAATCATGTTCTTGCTCTGAGGGGTCTGCCCGATACAAAAATTGAGAGGGATTCAGTGCCTTATCCGTGCGAAGCACCAAATCATCTTTTTCCATCAGTATTGTCTCATATTTCAAAATCCTTGAATCTGTCATCCACTGTCCAGACCTTTGTGTTAATATTGTTCGGAATGTGTGAGGCGTATAAACCATTAGATGTCCCCCAAAGGTAAGTTTTGAACCTTCTTCTACTAAAATTGCTGTAGCGGCTACTACTTGAAGGCATATAGGCCATCCTCTACAACCGGGATCCATTAATTTAGAGAGAAATGCCACAAGTTTACAATGTCCTCCTCTTTCTTGCATTAATAACTCGTGTAATACCTTCCTCTGTATTCACGTAAAAGTAGATTTCCTTCTTTAAGTCTGGGAGGGTCAATAGTGGAGCCTTGACGAGCTTAGACTTAAGTTCTTTGAATTTTTCATTCTCCTCTGTAGTCCACTCTACATCTTCCTTTCCTAATAATTTTTGTACAGAAACTGTACAGCCTGAGTGGGCTGCAGGGAGGAGAAGGGGCTGTAGCATGTCTTCCCCCATTTTCATTATTACCATAGTTTTGTGGAGGGTGATAAGGGGGTGGATTGATCCATGGGAGATGGTCTAAAGGATCCCACCCTGGTTCAGTTTTTTTTCCTATCTTTTTCTTCTTTTTCCCCCTTTTCATTTAGCTTTAAAAACCTCCATGCTCCCGTCGTCCAGCAAGAAGCACGCTCGCCTTCTTCCCGGCTGGGAGGTTCCCCGGCGTTCACGGATTCACTCAGAGCCTGGCCCCCCCAAGTTGGGTGACCAGTACAAACCTTTACAGCCCCTCCGCTCGCATTCGCTCCCTACTCCAAGCGCACACGCAATGATTTACC